TATATATATATATATATATATATATATATATATATATATATGAAACAGTAGCCACAATAATTACATTTACCATCTTTGTATATAAAAGATTCTCATCTTAAAGTAATTTGCATCCCAGATCTTCACCCTGTGAAATAAATCACTGTGAAAGTAAACGTATGTGCATAAACTCCCATTGGCATTCCTGTCCTCATCAGCCCCCTACCCTCTGTTCTCCACCCATCCGCTCCGCAAATAAGGCTAAGCTCTGACTCACCACATGCAAATGAAGATGTAATGCGATTACAAGACGTGCAATTAATTTGATTTACCCATTCACTTCATGATGTTGCCTCTATCCAAGGACACGGCTTTCAAAAATGACACGAACAAAATATAACTGAAGAGTTTCACATGCCGTATTGCCACCTGTCACATTCAGCATTATGACCTTGCAACACCTTTCAGAATATCTTAATGTGCTGGAGACCTGAAAGAGATTAAATGAAGTTTTTGTGTGCATTTACCTTGGCGTTAACTGGAAGTTTCAATAGACTTTTATTCATTTTACTGTGATGTATGCCTGAATAAAAGGTTCTCTTAAAGGGATAGTTCACCCAAAATAAAAAATAAATAAATAAAATGAAAATCATCACTGCCATCATTGACTCTCTTTTTACTTGTTACAAACACTTTATTATTTATGTTTATTCTGTTGAGCTGCTGGGCACAAAATTAAATATTTTAGGGAAAAAATGACTAAGTTAATAACTTGGTCTGTGTAACACTTTTCAGTTCTTTGATCAAGATTAACATCATCAAGATAAAGGACATACAAATTTTTTTTAAATTTTTTTCCATTTCTTTGAAATGGCTCACCATCAGATAATGTTTTTAATTTTTATAATTTTTATTTTAGAATCTACAGGATTGTTCTTTTTTTTTTTTTTTTTTTGGAATCTGATTAAAACATACCTAAAATGTACTTATTTTTGTGATAATGTTTTATGTTTTATTTTCCCCCACCCCCTTTACAAATGTTTGTATCTTGTGAGCTGCCAGTCAGTCCATATTATTACCGCTGAGGGTGTGGGGTGGCACTCATCGATGTCCATAGAAATATACCTGTATATTATATATACACACACACACACAATTGAAGTCAATTCAATTTAATTCATTTAAGCTTTATTTGTATAGCGCTTTTACAATGTAGATTGTGTTAAAGCAGTTTCACATAAATGGTCATAGTAACTGGATCAGGGTAGTTCAGTTTTTAGTGTTTAAGTTCAGTTCAGTTCAGTTTAGCTCAGTTCAGTGTGGTTTGAAGTCATTATTGAGAGTCCAAATACTGAAGAGCAAATTCATCGATGAGTAGCTTTTCAGATCCTGAACCATGCAAGCCAATGGTGACAGCGGAGAGGAGAAAAACAAAAACATCAATAAAAGAGTGAAGAAAAAAAAACCTTGAGAGAACCAGACTCAGTTGGGCACGACCATTTTAATTTCTCCGCTGGCCAAAAGTCTTGTGCAGAATTAGTCAGAATTATTACCCCCCCTTTGAAATATTTTTCTTTTTTAAATAGTTCTAGTAAAATATTATTTACTGTCATCATGGCAAAGATAAAATAAATCAGTGATTAGAAATAAGTTTTTAAAACTATTATGTTTAGAAATTAATTGAAAAAAAAATCTTCTCTCCATTTAACAAAAATTGTGGGAAAAAATATATATATTTGATGTCAATTTCTGATGACCAAAATCAACTCAATTTTTTTTTTCATAAAAGGACCGTTCAACCAACAATCATCAAAATTAAATAATTTAAAAAATTGTTTCAAAGTTAAACTTTTACCATTTCTTTGTAATGATCTGATTTATATTTTTTCTCTTGTAGTTTTAAACCTATTTTTTCTTTCTTTCTTTCTTTCTTTCTTTCTTTCTTTCTTTCTTTCTTTCTTTCTTTCTTTCTTTCTTTCTTTCTTTCTTTCTTTCGATTAAAAAAGCCACAAAACTGAATTCCTGACCCCAATTCATTTCTAATAATTTATTAAAGGCATCAGCATAGCACAAAAACCCTGGACTCATTTTGACCTTCTCATTTCTCAACTTTCTTCAAGTCTTCAGTTTCAGCCTGGGTTGAGGATTTTAAAGGCTTTACTTTCCTCTCTCCATGGCATGTTTTGTAGGTGACCCGGCAGCGGAGGAGTGGTCTCAGTGGAGCGTGTGTTCGCTGACTTGTGGGCAGGGTTGGCAGGTTCGTTCGCGTTCTTGTGTATCCTCTCCGTACGGGACCCTCTGCAGCGGCCCGCTGAGGGAAACCCGACTCTGCAACAACACTGCCACCTGCCCAGGTGAGCCGCAGCATCAAGCAGGTACAGTACCTCCAATGGATGCCCCTGTGCACTTTCACACTCCCTAACATTGCATGGATAGGTCAAACTCTTCACTGTAAAAAAGAAATCTGTAAATTAACAGTTTATCTATTTTGTGATTCACAAGTGTTTTCTGTTAATTTACAGTTGTGAATTGCATTGCGGGAGTGTTATTTCTGCTCTGTCCACTTTTAATGTTGACAATTCAACTGTACAGCTTAACAAAGTGACTTCTATTGACATTTTAGGAGTTTAAAATAATATAATATTTGAGAAATAATATTTAGAGAATTAAGTTTGTAAAATAACTGAAAGTACTGGGAGTTTATTATCAGGTTTTTGTACCGTAATTTACAACACCACTTAAAAGACGTTTAGAGACTGAAGACTCCAAGTGATGAAGTGTTTCAGTTGTAATTATGTCGCTTTCTTCCTGCAAAGTCTTAAGGTAAGGCAGTACGGGGTCTTTTGGCCTGTTTCCACTGAGTGGTATAGTATGGGTGGGTACGAGTCACCTTTATCAGGCTTACGTTTCCACGTGGTGGACGTGGTGTATTACATTGCAGTCAGCGTCGTTCTCACTCAAGGAAATGTCAAAGTACCTGTACGGGTCGTTCACATATCATATGAGAAGCACTTCTCACAAAACAGATGCTTTATAAACATACAGTAAATACTTGTTTATAAATGTTTATTACTAACTTTTCGTTGAACATGATTTGATTATAACTGCAGATCAATGATATGAAACATCTGCAATTATATAAAATATATAAGTAAGTGCAACATATGCGAACACATGCATACTATTACAGTCTTCGATATGTTACCAATTACAGAAAAACTACACACAGCATACGTTTACTCCTTATTTGGGTTCAAAAACAACACGCAACAAATAGCTCAGTCAGTGCAAACCTCTCATCTGTATTTTTATTCTTCACCAGCACATGTAACCTCTTGTTAGAGAGTAATTCTGTGATTTCGAGTTCATAATAGTCCATAAGACGATCATAATAGTTAAACATGGCAGTTTGTTTATGTTTTAGGTTGCTGAAAGAATCATTTTTTTCTTTGTTTATTCGTGCTTGATTCGTATTTGTCCGTTTCTAAAAGGATCAGATGTTAGAAGCACATCAATAATCACACGCACGCATACGGGGCACAGGGTAGATTCTGCTCTTCTTCTTGGCTTTGAGGCTGTTCATCAAGATGACGACAAGGTTTTTTTGAGCTCGAGTTGACCATGGCTCTTTATTATATGTATATATTATTATGGTGTAATGGCTCGGCTGTGTATTTAAAAATGGCACTAAACCAATAGAATTCAGCTGCACATCTAGTTCTGCCTTTTAGTACCTTTTGAAAAGGGTACCCAAAAAGTAGTACAGTACGGTTCACCTTTTGGTACCTTTTGACAGTGGAAACGACCATAAAAGAGTACCGAACTGTACCGTAACACTCAGTGGAAATGGACCATTTGTTGTCTCATTTTGTTCTTTAAAATCCGTCACAAGTTCTCTGTTGGAGACAGGTCAGAACTGCAGGCAGCCCAGTCAAGTACCTGTATCCTCTTCCTTCCTAGCCAAGACTTTGTAATGTGTGCAGAATGTGGTTTTGCATTGTCTTCTTAAAATATGTATGGGCGTCTCTTGAAAAGAACCAAAATTGGAATACGTGTTTATTAAAAAAAAAATCTAAATAACAAGGAGCACAATAAATATGTTTTGTTGTATTGTCTGCAATGAAATGGAGGTCAAAGTTAATTTAGAAATCACTACTTTCTTTCTTTTTTTTTTTTTTTGCATTTTCCATGCTGTCCCAACTTTTTTCTGATATGGGGTTATTATCAAAATGTCCATAGATGCCACTTTTACAAACTTTTCCACATCAAAAGCTTTTGAAGGAAAGATCAATGTCCCATAATGCAATTCAATAGCTTATTTAAAAAAATAAAAAAAAAAACATGAATCGCATAATATAGAAAACTCAATTTACAGTGTAGTATATGTTAACTAAATGCTTGCTGAAATGATGCATGAAAAATATAAGCTATTAGATTTTTTACAGCTTCTACTAAGCACTACACACACTGCATGTTTGAAGTACATATGCATTGCACTGCATTTCTGTTAAGTGTCTATTAGGTTGTTGCATAGAATGGGCACTTTTGACACTCTTTGTACTGTACTGATATCAGTCTTTTTTATTTTTTGTCTGTACTGGAGTGCACTTGTGTCTGGTATGTACTGTTGTATCAAGGTTGTGCGATGCAAGTGAGATCAGTTACAGGTCTCACTGGTGTTTTAGTTTTGTTTTGCACGTCTGCACAATGAGTTCTCACCTGAAAGGATATCAGCATGTTAAAGGGTTAGTACACCCACAAATGTACATTCAGTCATTGTTTGCTCACGCTGGTGTGATTTCAATGCCATATGCCCTTGTGAAATGAATAATAATAATAATAATAATAATAAATCCTCTACACACTGCATATCCATATAAAGAGAGAGAATATTGACCAGTTTTTAGCTTTTAAAAAGATTATATTAAGGAGTGCTCTCATCTCCAGTTTAGTTCAGTTTCCTTTATTTTGTCCTCCAAAACATCACAGTAGATGTGATAGAGATCGAACTTGTTACATCGACGACCAGCAAAAACATCAGAAAACACTATAAAAACGTAACATAATAAATAAGATTTTGTAATAATAATAATAATAATAATAATATATATATATATATATATATATATATATATATATATATATATATATATATATATATATACATATACATATATTCTATAGTCTACAGAGATAACCACCGATATACAATAACTTGCGATATACAATATATATATATATATATATATATATATATATATATATATATATATATATATATATATATATATATATATATATATATATATATATATATATATATATATATATATATATATATATATATATATATATATATATATATATATATATATATATATATATATATATATATATATATATATATATATATATATATATATATATATATATATATATATATATATATATATATATATATATATATATATATATATATATATATATATATATATATATATATATATATATATATATATATATATATATATATATATATATATATATATATATATATATATATATATATAATATATATATATATATATATATATATATATATATATATATATATATATATATATATACATATATATATATATATATAGGATGGGGAAAACTATTCATTTTCTCAGTTATGCCAAAAAAAAAGATATTTACATAAAAATCATGTTTCATAAAGACATTTAGCACATTTTCCTACTGTGAATATATCAAAACTCAATTTTTTTAAATTAACTTAGACAACTTTAAAATAAGTTAAAAATATAGAACGAACACAGGAAGGTTAGGATAAATGATGGTCTGCAAATGGCAATCTATATGTGTCCTGTAAACATCAAGATTTACATTCAATTTTAAAGAGAAAGCAGGGATATT